AGAGGAAGGAAGGAAGGAGGGAGGGAGGGAGGGAGGGAGGGAGGGAAGGAGGAAGGAAGGGAGGAAGGAAAGAAAAAACCAGACCACAATAAAACATCGAACTTTCAGGAAAGAACACACCTATAGTTACTAAAGGTGAGAAAGGGAGAGGGGGAGGGGAATAAGCCAGGCACAGAAAAAGAAATACTGCATGTCTTCACTCATAAGTGGGAGGGAGGGAGGAAGGAAGGAAAGAGAGAGAGAGAGAGAGAAAGAAAAGAAAAAAGAAGGAAAGACAGACCGCAGTAAAACATTGAACTTTCAGAAGGAGAGAACAGACCTATAGTTACTAGAGGTGAGAAAGGGGGAGAGGGAAGAGGGTTAGGGAGTAACTGGGTAAGGGACACAAAGAATAATTACCATTTGTAATGATAAACATGTTAATAATATTGATTTGATCATCACATACTGTATACAAATACTGATGATAGTCATCTCTGTACCCCATAAATATGTATAATCAAAAATAAATAAATATATATCTATATTTTTAAATGAGAACAAAGACCTATTTTTGTAAACTTCCAAAGCAAATACCTGTTGCCCTTAGTAGCCCATTCCAATATCAGGAAGTCCTTTCTTATTTCTAATTTGATTCTTTCATGTCCTTTAAATTTATTTTCCCGATAGTTAAAAGATAACAAGTGCTTATAATTATCTGCATGATAGTTCATATCCTGGAAGATTATTATAAAGTCTTCTCTTCTCCTGACAATAAAATTTGATTCTTCAGCTCTTTTTCTTTTGAACCTGCTAGATTTTGTCAGATGTATCTCTAAGTATACTGGGTTCATAAGTTGTTCAGGGTGTGGAAGGCAGGCTGACCTCAGAATTAATTAACATTCCTATGTATTTCCTCAAAAAACTATACCCTCCATAATGTTTCCTCATAATATATGATAAGTGAGTCTGTGTCCATTCTTTAAAATTCTAATGTCAACAAAATGGAGATCTTTCACCTGTGTGGTTACTGAGGGAAAATCTAAACCATGAATTTCCTGGGCCAGCTCTGAATGTATGTCTGTGCTACAGACTGGTAAAAATGGATCGTTCATTTGTTCAATGAAGTTACTGAATGCCCACCATGTGCACGACACTGCACTGAATGCTTTGCAAAATATAATGACATAGAAGAAAAAGTCACTGGAAATAATATGAGAAAACAAAAAGCTGCATGAAATTATCAGTGGAACAATTTATATTATAAGGGACATTATATCCAAGCATTCTCTTAATACCCATGTAACAATTTCTCCAAAATACCTTCTTATACTGCAGACAAATTAGAAAAAAAAAAAAAGTGCATGCCAAATAAGTTCTTAATGATGAGGAATAAAAGAGACTACCTTGCCTGCTCCAGTAGATCCAGAAACTGCCAACAACTGTCCTCTTTCTATCCTGAAACTGATATCTTTCAGGACAGGAGTACCAAGATGTGAGAAGTTACTGAAGAAGAGGCTGTTATCACCATTGGATATTTCTCTAGAGTTATTATTCTGTTTTGCTTTCTTAAATAATTCCCCGAATCCCTGTAAAAAAAACACATTGAAAATAAAAGGTTTTTCAGATATTCTTATTAGATTTGTGTTTTATGTATGATTCATTTAAAAGACACATGGCACAACATCCATTATACTATATGAGCATTATTAATATTATAAAAAATATATAATTATACATCAGCACATGGTTTCTAAAGCACATGATCCAAAGCATTTGAAAATTCTAACCATAGTATTTAATTGAAACATAATTGCCCTTTCTTTGATCTTTGCCCATTATCAAATTAAATTAAATTAAAAATCGGATATGTGTGTGTACACATAAACACATACACCCAGACCCCTTCTATATAGACTGGGTACATAAACATTATTACTTAATCCTGAATGACTAAAGTCACATAACTAGTTGGTCACAAAGTAGAATTATAATGCAAATCTGACTTCTGTCATGCTGGTAGCACCTTCCTCTGAGAGCTCAATACATTTCTTTAGGTAATTATTGTTAAATTATTGTTAAATATAAATGTGAAGAGATTGCCAGGTGATTCAAATGAATTCATTTATACAAGAATTCCTGGGGAGAAGAAATTCCATCTTGAAAATTCCTTGCCTCTCTATTGCCCCCAAGGGAAGCTTAGGGTAGTGGTCTTCAAACCAAAGGAAACAGCCCTGAAGATTAAGCAGGAGGAAGATGGTACACCTACTTTCAAGGGAATCTATTTTCAGATCCTCAACATCCAAATGAAGCCTTTCCTAAAATTAACCTGCCTGAGAATTCGTCTGCTGTCTGTCATTTTTCCTCTCACAATTATCCTCCCCTCGTTTTACCCAGAAGAGACATCCTTCTCACCATGCAAGTGAGCACTAGTCTTACTATACCGAACTTTCCAGAGTATAAAAACCTCTGAGACTCAAACAAGGGAAACCATAAGGGAATGATTTTCTCCTGAAAAGAGGGTCCCATGAAAGTAAAGCAAGAATTACTGAAGGAGGCAGCATTTTATTTCGCCCAGATTCCAAACTTAAGACAATCTATGTGTCTCATCTATCTTAGAATTAAATTTCACAAATGAGTAGGGGGTTAAGATATTTTAATTGTTTAATTAACTTTATTTTTTAATAATCTAATAAATTAATTAACACAAATTATTTGTTATTTGTATTTTAAAGTAAAGTCACACTTTTTCTGATAGAAAGGAAGTTGTATTTAGCTGATTGGCTTGACAATGAGTACTGACTTCCTAAATTATTTTTCATAAATTGAACACACTGAAACTACAGCTCTAAAGTGTTGACAAAAAACCATCTAACATACTTAGATGATTTACAATAAACAGGAAATTAAATCCTTTGCCACCACTTAAACCTATGTTGAAAAATTATGTCAACTTGACAACCACTGTTTTGAGTTCTTATGATATGGGTGGTTGACATCCCCCTCAGTCATCAGACAAGTAAAACCAGAGCTTTTAAGGAGTGGACAATGAAAAGTCTTAAAAAATGAGAAAAATGCATTTGTTATTACTTAGACGTTTATCTAATAGATATTATTCAGCACCACCTCTGTATTACAGACCACTTCAAAAATCCCACATGGGAGAATGACACATGAAAAGATATTAATACCATAGTGTGCTTGGTGCAACAATTAAAAGTCACACCAAGTCCTATTGGAGTACATTTGAGAGAGCCAGCGACTCAGGCTTGATTAAATAAATGACATACGTGCTAGCTATGAAGGATGTAAGTGGGATTTCACAAGAACAAGAAATGTTTCTAGGTGTTCCAGGAAGATGGATCCATGTGCACAATGATTTAGGCTTAAAAAGAACAGAGTATGTCTCAGGAATAGTGAGTAGTTGGGTTAGATGTATATGGCAAAATGACAAAGGCTGTTAAAGGGCTCGGGTGTCATGCTTAGAAGTGGGACTTTTATCCAATAGGCATCTGGACCAATGGAAGCTTGCTGTCACTAATAACTTACATTTCTCATTACAAAAGACACTTATTTCAGAAAAATTGGAACACAGAAAAGCAGAAAGAAGGAAATAGAAATCACCTATAGTTGTACTACTGAGCAGTAACCTACCTTTAACATTTCAACTGATATTCCTCCACTCTTTTACACATATAAATATATAAATAAAAACGTATATATATATATATATATTTTATGTATATGTAAAATCATGTATGATTGTTTTAAACATTCATAAAAATTATATATGATGTTTGTGACTTGTTCTTCTAACATAATAAATTGTAAATGTTCACATACCATTAAACATTCTTTTTAACGTAGTTTTGTGCAAGATAATACCACAGAGAATGGATAAACTATAAACATTTCCGTATTAGTTGGTTTCCTTTTTAAAAAAATTCAATCAATAATTCTGTGATGCACAAAATTTGTTATAAATCTTGGGGCACATCCTTTTTTTGTGTGTTTTTTGCAGTATAAATTCCCACAAGTGGAATTCCCAGAGCAAAACATATAAAACTCTAAGTCTTTTGAAAAGTAGTTCCAGGGCCGGCCCGGTGGCGCACTGGATAGTGCGCCGCTTGGGAAGCGCGGCGGCACTCCCGCCCGAGGGTTCGGATCCCACATACGGACCGGTTCCCGCTCACTGGCTGAGCGAGGCGCGGGAGCAACACCAAGGGTTGCAATCCCATTGCCGGTCCCCGGTCCGGTACGGGGGCAACACTGAGGGTTGCGATCCGTTGCTGGACACGGAAAAAGACAAAAAAAAAAAAAAAGAAAAGTAGTTCCAAATTTTCCTCTAGTAATGTATGAAAATGTTAGTTTTCAGGAACCCTTGTCAACACTGTTGTTTTTTGGTTTGGGTTTGGTTTGTTTTGGTCTTTTTTTATATAGCTTTATATGTAAAAATGGAATCTCACTATTGATCTTATCTGTATTTATCTGATCCCTAGTAAGACTGAGCATTTTCTATTTCATATTTCTATTAACATTTTCTATTAACATGTTTATTGGCCCTCTGCAGTTGGGAGGGAATGGTTACAATATCCTTTGTCTTTATTCCAGCCTTTGTCTCATCTTCTCAACTAGCTGGGTTATGATCGACATGATGTCATTACAACATTCTGAGCTTCAGTTTCCTAAGTTGTTGAGGTCCTAAGTGAAAAATACATAAAATACATGAAAGCATACAGTAAAGTAATAGTCACTTCTTTTTTTTAGTAAGTGACAATATGGTGAATGAGCGAGAAGGGGCTTTGGAGACAAAGAAACCTAAGATGACATTTTAGCTCTGCCCTAGCTAGATGGGTACCTTTGTTCTAATTGCCTAAACTCTCTAAGCCTCAGCTTCCTAATACATAACTAGAAATTTTACCTACTCAAAGGTTTGGAGCAAGGGAGGAGTCATACACAACTCATCAGAAACTTGCCTCTTGGTTGATGCCCTCAAAGGAGATGGAGAATACGCAAGAACAAGCAGGTTTATAAAGTTTGGGGAGTGATGAACACGAAGTGCTCAAGCATGCGGGAAACTTGGAGAGACATGTATAAAGTTCACGAAAGAAACTGGGGACAGAGATTTGCATTGAGTGTCATCAGTACATTGATGTCAGTTGAGTCTGGGTGAAATCACCCAAAGAGGGCATGAAATGCTACAAGGAGGCTTGAGTGGGGACCCAGTAGCCCATCACCACTGAAGTGGCAGGCAGGGCAGACTTGGAAGTCATGGTCTAAAGCTAAAATAATCTGGAAAGAGTGATTCATGAAAGCTAAATTAAGTGATAAACTCCAGAAGAAAAGAACAGTTTTAATAGATTGGTGAGGGAAGAATAAAGACTGCAGTGTGTCAAAGTCCATAAAAGGTGAAGAAATGAAACAGGTTTGACAGTGAAGGGAAGGAGAGTAATAAGGTTTGGGGGATAATGTTGGGTGGGCAAAAGTCAGGGAAAAAAATTTAACATGACAATATTTAAATGTGAAAAGCAGTCAGTTGAAAAAAGATGTTGAAGCTTCTGCAGAGAGAATAATTTATGACCCCCTGTTCTGAGAAGATGAAGCAGGATACAGTATTTCAGACAAAGGCAGGAGGAAGCATGCATCTATTTCTTAGACAGGAAGGAAGGAGGGAAAGATCATTCCAAGGGTGAGGAGAGAAGTTGGGAGGCTGGCCAGTTAGTTCAGTTGGTTAGAGTACAGCCTTGTAACACCAAGGTCAAGGGTTCAGATCCCTGTACTGGCCAGTACCTCCTCCCACCCCACCCCCCAAAAAGAAAGAAGTTGGAAGCATTCATGCATGCTATTTTCTCTATGTAGGTATTGCAGAAGGCAAGGCTGTCTATTGGGGGTGAGTAAATCTGTGGAAAGCTTGTGGGTTTCATGAAAGTGGTAAAAATCTGAAATAGCTGTTAGAGATACGGTAAAGGAAATTAAGTAAAAACAAATCAAAGAATTTCTTAAGAAGGATTACAGGCCCGGTTCAGGTTGAAGCAGTAAGTGTATAAAACTTACAATTGACTAGAGTATATAATTTTCCCAGATATCACTTCCTTTTCCAAAGCTGATAAAGTGAATGTTTTGCAGGAAAAAATTCAGCAAAAAGAAAAGAATTGAGACTGCAGCTGGGAGAAGAGCTGAAATGATTGATATTGGAATAAGCAGAGGTTAAACCAGGAGGGGTCCAAAAGGGAGAACTGAAGCGACTAGAAATCTTAATGAAATTGAAAGGCAGTAAAGGTAGGATTAAAGGACTGAAAGAGCTAGAGGGTTAAGAAATTCTGGGCTGAGAAAGAAATTTCAGAGTGTGACATTACCCGAGTGGGGTAAGACTGGGTGCTAACAAAGCTCAGGTTATGACTAAGAGAGAGAGCTTCTGAAGAAGTCACTGGAAAACATAAGTTCTAAGGACAGTATTGAAAGGATCGTTCATGTGAATGTTGAAGTCTCTGATGGGAAGTTTAATAAGCACCACCATCCTGAGTAAATGCCATTAAAGAATTTCCGGAGTTTGATAGGTAACAGTCAAAGACAGGATGAAGAGAACACAGCCAGATGGAAGGTGAAAGGATTCCATACTGTGACATTTGGGTCCAAAATCCGGCTTTAGTCCTTGCCAGTTGTGTGAGCCGAGCCAAGTCCCTTAACTTTCCTAAGCTTCCGTTTTCTTATTGGTAAAATGGAAATACAAATCTTTTTGAGGTCATAGGAATGTTGTGAGGATTAAATGAGACAAAACATGTAAAGTGTTTACCCTAGTGCCTGGCATCTAGAAGGGCTCAAGCAGGCTACCTGTTTTATTAGATGGAGTAAGAGAGGATGTTTGCACCAGGGTAGAAAAACAAGAATCTGAAAGTAGTAGTGAAAATGTCAAACTTCATATTTTTCCTTCCTGCCTAGAAGGGCACTTGAAATTCCTAAAATCAAAGGAGTAAAATAAATCTCATCTACACACTTTTCTACAAAACAATTTTGTCAGGCAGATATGGAATTATTCTCTTACCTATATCTTAAAAAATGAAGTAAAATGAAGCCATGGTGATCAAGTTACTTATATAAATAAATCCAACTCAAAATATTGTAAAAGATTTAGAAATAGGACATTGGTTTTGTAACTTTTACATTTACTCAACCAATGTAAGCAACAAGAAACCTGAACTCAACAGGTGTTCTCAATAATCAAATATTGCTTCCATAGAGGCTGAAGACCATTGGTAATATTTTTGTCTGAGAAATATGAGAGAATTTTTAATAGTGAATGAAAATAAGTAAAAATAGCAGACAACAATACACTGGTATATCTCTCATACATCTTTTTGTTGACTGATGTATATGCAGAATATCAACCTGGAACTTGAGGTCAGAAAAGGTAATGTTTATTAAGGAGCCATTATGTAAGTGGTGCTCTGACGAATAATTTACCTAACTATCTGTAAGTCTTCACAACAAATTTGCAAGGTAAATATGAATAGTCCCCATTTTACGTATAGAAAGCTAGAGGCTCCCCAAAGTTATGTAGCTTGATTTAGTTTACATAGACAGTACATGGCAGAGCCAGGATTTAAACCCAGATCCAAAATTTAGGATCTATGTATTACTTTCTGACCTGTATGTGAAACAAATTATATGACTTAGAAATAAAGAGGCTTGTATACTGCATTTAATATTCCTGGGCCTCTACTTCTTAATCTCTAAAATAAGTAAAATGGGCCTCTTTCCAGTTCTACCAGTTATATCATCATTCTAACTTTATTTTCCATCAGGATGAAATCCAGATTCACAAAGAAGAAAATGCTTAAATGTTTAGAGAAAAACAATTAAAAAATTCCTGACCTCCTCCCAGAAGGCTGTTACAGTCTCCATCACTACTTCTGTAGTTGTTAAGTTATATTCCAACGTCTTATACTCTTGCTTTTGTAAGAAATCCTATTTATAAAAGAGCAAAAACATATTGCAAAATCAGAATAACATTAATATATTATTACATCTATTTTATACTCTATAGTGCTGCATCTTACATACGAATTTTAAGATTAAATTAGAAATTATTTCTTAATAAAATAATTTTATAAGTGTTCTAAAGTTAATGCCAAGAAGTAGGATTCATCATATTTGAAATATACTCTTTAAACATGTGATATTTTATAAAACTGTTGTCATACATTAGATTTTAACATACAACTGATTCTTCTTTGTACTATTACACCTTAACCTTAGAGATGAATTTATAAAGTATCCCTGAATGTGTCTCAATTCAACATTAGGACAGAGAGAAAATAAATGTCTTCATCTTTATAGAACCCTCTTTATTAGAGGCATCATTAACATCACTTCTCTGGGTTAAGTAAAGATATAAAGATTTGATATATCAGGTTTTAAGATATCTAACCGTGATTCTAAGAAGAGGGCTCTACTAGAGAGTCCAAGTCAGTTTTCCTAGGGAAGGTGAGAGCATAGGGAGGAATTGTGTCCATGCATCCTGAAGTCTTCACCACATGAATAACGAAAAAGCCTAGTCCCTGCCTCACTGCTTCCCTATTCTCTGCTCTTCTCCTTCTTTTGGTTTGTCTCATTTTCTCCCAGTTTTGGTTTTCCAGATCTGTTTCTCTGTCTCTGTGTTCCTGTTCAGTGACTCTCTCAGTCTCTGTGAAGTGCTCTTTCTGGGTCTATTTTTCTGTCTCTCTCTCTCTCTCCTTCTCTCTCATTTCTCCCACACCCAGCTGTGCTTGGGTTAACAGAGGACATAAAATTATTCCCAGAGCTACTATGATTCTAAGCTACATTCACCACCTTGTCTAAATAACAGATCTCAAACTCATTTATTCTCAAGTGTCAAACAGTGATATAATTAAGGATGAGGGCTGGGTAGAGATAGTGATGAACTGGATAGGGCAGGCTCTTGAGGGGAGAAGGGGGTGGGGATAGTTGTCACAGGCTGCCAGGAAGGAGGACTCAGTTTACTAGATATTACAATTTTTCAAAAGAGGCTGAAGACATGATTTTGTGTACACATAACATCTCCCAATTTTTAATTGCTGGCAACTAATCAATTTTTAAAATGTAAAGGTCAAACAAAACAGGTCTAGGAGCCAAAATTAGGTCCGTGGGCCACCATTCACAATGTCTGGCCTAAACTAAATAGTGGCAGAATCACCTAAAAATGCCTTCACCCTTCACTACTCATTTTTATTTCTGTCATTGTGATTTATTTTCTGGGTTAAATATTTAAATAATTATTTTTAAAGTATAATAAAGCATTTTATCTGCTTATTAATTACACAAAAGTTCATTCAATTAGCTTTGTATAAATTGAGTCTCATCACCTGAAGACTTTAGAACTTCTCAAAGCTGCTAGCTACATCAACATTGCTGGGATTTTAAAGTAATTAATGTGGCATAAAATGCCATTCTCATCTATCATACTGCTCAGGGAAATCGTAGGAAAAGTTTAAAGTGAACATTCCTAATATAAACTGCAAAGTTTTATAAATTCTTAGTGGAGGAAGTTTCTTTTTTAATCTTTTTGCCCATTTGCAAAGCTCATTAGAACCGATCTACTGACTGATTACTTGAATGAAATTCTCCAGAGTATAAAAACAATTTTCTGTAATTTCATTGACTTAAGAGAATCTCACAGGCCTTTATTTTATTTCACTAGCCTTTCATTACAAAGGTTCATTAGACCACATAGAGACATCAAGAGAGGAAATCCGATGCATTAAAAAGACCCAAGATCAAGGATTCATCTCTAGAGAGTTTGCCTACTAGAAAAATTCTAAATGTTTCAAGATCATAGTATATAATGCACAGTTATGGCACATTACCTGTATTTTGTTTATTGCTCCAAGAGAATCATACCATGTTTGTACAGCCCAGGGGAATTGCCGAGTAACCGCCATGCGCAGAACAATGCAGAATGAGATGGTTGTGAATATTTTTCGAAGGCCAATTCCTTTGATCAGTGCATAGGGAAGTACAGACAAAAACACCACAAAGAACCCTGAGAAGAAGAAGGCTGAACTATTGAAGTATCTCACATAGGCTGCTTTCCGGGTCAGTTTCAGTTCTGTTCTATAAAAAATAAATTAGTATAAGATTTGGAATGTTATTCTATTTCTCAAATATCAGGCATCTTCGTATGTAAAATCTGAACATGGGCTCTAGAGTCTTTCTGCCGGTGTTCTGATCCAGATTCCAACCTGTATTTGTTGTGTAACCTTGTACAAATTATTTAACCTCTCTGGGCCTCAGTTACCTTATCAAAAGGGAGACAGTAATGAATGTACCAATGTTTTGCAAATAATACCTGTAAATATTATTTTTAAATTATAATTAATAATTTCATTTATTATTAACATTTACATTATTTTTATATCTTTATTCTCTTCATTGTTAACTTGTATGATTAGTGAGACTGATAATTTTTTGTTGGTTGGTTGATTGGTGTTTTATGTAATTAAGTGTGGAAATGAGGATAATGTTGTAAGATTTATAAAGGAAAAAGACAATTCTGTGATTACCTAATGGATTGTTAACACTTAGAAATAGTAGCTTGGCTTTGAGGAACATTGAAAATAACATATAAGCCACAGAGGAGTGGTTCTCAAACCTTAGCATGTGTAAAAATCACCTGAAATACTTGTTAAAATGCAAGAGATACTGATTGAATGAGTCTGTAGTAGGTTTCCAGAATGTGTTTATAAAAAAGAACCCTAGTGATTTTGTTGCAGATGGTTCTTGAAAAATTATGAGTAGATACTATATCCTCTCTGTCTCTTCATTTCAGTGTTAATTGCAATCACATTACATTACATTTTTGATCTTCTAGTCTGAACTGCAAATGTGAATTGTTTTTTTTAACTCACATATATATATGAGGCTTAAATGGGCCAATAGGCAGAAAACAGGGAGTGCAGAGCCTAGTGAGAACAGAGGACGATGATGCCTTCAACCTCAGTCCCACTCTTCCAGGAGCCATGAAAATTGGAGTCACTTGTGATCCTCCCCATCCAGCTCTTATGTAGAGAAAGAGCAACAAATAGAGGGCTCAGGTGGGAGGGAGTAAGAGCTGAGCCATGGCTTCGTGCAGGTAGGAACCTGGCATTTGGGTGCTAGTTCCACACACTTGTATAAATCAGAAAAGCAATAGATTTAAGTCCAAAAAAAAAAAAAAGTAAACTTGAGCACACTGATGTGATTCACAGCCTAATGAGGTCTAATGTTTAGCTATTTCAGCAATTTGGCATTGAAGACAGTTTATGATTTTGGAATCTCACTTGGGTTTGAGTACTGGTTCTGCCAGTTACGGCTATGCTGTCTTAAGCAAGCCACCCTTCCTTCTGATTTTATAGAATCCAAATCTACAGAAGGGAAACATAGCACCTCTCTTGTGGAGTTGTCAAGATTAAATAGCAGCATGGCAGAGGGTCTAATAAGAATCTACAATTTGTGTCTTTTGTTAGAGTGAGCAGGGCGGAAGCCGTATTGGGACCTAAAACCATGAGCTTTAGGGGAAAAGGTGGGGGAGGGGACACAGTTTTTTTCTTAGCATGCCTTTTTCTGACTTCCTTATTTTCCAATGGTTATTTGATATTTTAAACCTTGGTTATGGGGCAAGATGACACTTTTTACATAAATGTGAAGTTGTTTTCCAGTCAGCCTGGAGCTACAGACATGCCACAAGACACTATCCAGACCCTGAAAAACCAAGGAAGACATCAATAAAGTTATGCTGATTCTACCCTGAAGCAGGATCCTAAGATAACAACAAGGATGGGAACAGAAACCAGATAGAGCCCTAGTGAGAAATTGTATCTGGCCCCTTACATGTGCCCCTCCCTCCTGCTTTTCATTTCCCGCATTCCATTCCCTTAACCCTCTCTTTAAAAACCCCTCAGTAAATCTGAGCCTTTGAGATAGTTTTAGTCTAGCCATTCTCTTTCAGGTTTACTGGAGAGATGGGTTAATCTAACATCTCTCCTCAGGTCACCAAATACTCCTGAATAAAATCTGACTTTTGCCAACCTTTGACTTTTGGGTTTGTTTGTTTTTTAATGTTTGTGGCAGGCATACAGACTTGGATTCAGTAACAAGATTTTGGTGAGCCTCAGCCAGGAGCTGGATGCCCTGGGGTAAGATTTTGGCAAGCCAAGCCAGGGTTTTTGTTTGGGGCAGGCAGCCGGACTTGGGTTTAGTAACACTGTCACCTCAACAGAAAAACGGAAAACATTGACCAGGTTGGTACCAATGGAATGATAGAAAACACTTCCCAAAAATGTTAACAACTTTGAAAAAATTGTTGCTGAACTATATCAAAAACAATTGAGAAAAATAAGAGGAAGCAATACTGCAAGAGTTATAGATCCAAGAACATTTATAAGAATCACCCAGAAAGCAGCACTCTCCATAATAAAATAATTTATGCTTTATGAGTCATAAAAATATTTTATAAGTTTCTTACTTAAAAAATTGAAAGTGACTTTACTATCAAAAAGCAATAAAAGAGTAGATTCTCAGGGAACTTTACATAGCCTTTTGCCCAGTTCAGCAGTGGCCCAGGCTGAGGTAGTCATTCCTTTGAGGTGCATCCTGCCAGGTTCTTCCACATCATTATACAAGTGTTTGTTCTCTTTAGTGGGAGCATTTCTTGTTTCCTCATATTTACGTCAGCACTTTCCAGCCTTTTCAGGTAACAATTTCATGCTAGATTATACAACTTACAACCAAACACTTGTCATTAGAATTGGTCAAACAGAAATGCAGAGTAGGAAGAATGAATTTCATCTTCTGAGGAACAGGGAAAAAAAAAACCCAAAAGTCAAAAAAAGTCAGCAACAAGCATGGCCTGGCCTAAGTTTATCCTGAGGCCTCAGAAAACTGGATCCTCTGATCACCTCCTCATTACCCTCGCTATACCTGTGTTTATAGGCATAAGAGTGAGGCACAGACAAGGATGGAGGAGCTCTCACTTGTTAATGAAAAACAACTTCTACCAACTGAACAATTCCCCAAGATCTTTAAGGATGTTTCTGGAAAGAAAATGACATTCCTTTTCCTGGATTTGTCTTGAAAGGCATAATAAAAACAGGTGACCAATAATGTTTGGAAAATAAATACTCTTTTACTCTTTCTATTTACATGGCATAGGACTTAACATTTCAGCATTTCTTTTGTTATTCCAATCACACACCTGCAGTTCAGAAACCATTGTCCACTGGACTCAGCAGCCTGAATTCCTAATAGCCCATATTCATACCATCCAAAAGTACATTTCTTTTTAAGTACATTTTCCCTTGTGAACCTATCAAGTGCTTTAAGTCCTGAAATCATTTGTCCCTTTAACACTATATCTACCCCCACTGAGCTTCCTAGAGCCTTTTTATGACTGCAGTTTGTAGAACATGGAACTCAACTAAAGAAAAATGGTCTTGTCGGTACAGAAATGTTCTAGTTTATATTTTGTCCAGAATTATCTTAGTAATCATATCTCAATCTGTGCTGTACTTTTTTTGCTGGATATAATCTTTACTAATCAGGGAAAGGTTATCTGAGGTAAAAGAATACTAGAGATTGATGCCAACTACTGATTCTATCTCAGGAGGTAGCTTCTGTTACTTGAACTGACTTCTCAAGTGGAGGGCTTATAGGAACACAATTTATGGATATTACCCTGTGCTATCATTCCTAAGTTAAGAAAGAACAAACAGTTCAAACAGATACAGGGTTTTTAATTTTTTTTTCACGAATCATAAGACACAAATTAAGTAAAATGTAATAACAGAGAATTTTTTATTTGGTTCAGAAGTTGTATACTCTAGCAGTTCCATTTAAGGTTTCCATCAGCCTCCAGCATCATAATCAATATTTTAATCAAATAAGTATATTAAGCAGCTATGAATACATGTAGGAGATTCTTTCATAAGGTATAAATATCCCTGTAGTGCAAAAAAATAACCACATAAAACTGACACCCCATGAGAATGACTTTACAAAGTTGGTTAATGGACCCAAAGAATAATTCTTTTTGTAATGATGAATATACTAATTATCCTGACTTTAGCATCACATATTGCACACAGGTATTGGTATTCAATTCTGTTCCCTACAAATATGCATGCATAATCAATTACGTTTCAATTAAAAAAAAAGGAAGAAAATGACTTTACACAATTAATGCATAAATGATATAACTTAACATAATTGTTTCATTTTCAGAAACTTCAAATATGAGTTGAAAGTCCAGTGTGACAGACTCATTTTTTAAATATTAAAGATAAAATTGCAAACAATATTGAAATTATTAGAACAACTTACTGTCTCAGGTTTTCAATCATTTTTTCCATTGCTTCCTCCCAGCAATATGCCTTAACAGATTGGATATTTTCAATCATTTCTGAGGTGATCACAAGTCTTTCATTGATCTTTCCACCTCTCTTATCTCTGTAAATCAATCAATCAAATAGTAAAAACAAGTCAAATTATCCACTAAGAACTCCTCAAGCTTTTAAGAAAAGTCACATTTGTTTTACAAAACAGATGGGCATTTATTTTATTATCAAATATGTGGTAACAAAAGTAATAGCTACCTACCATTTAGTAAATGACTACTATTTAGTAAATGCTGAAGACACTGTATTAGACTCATTCTATACAATATCCCTAATTTTTATGTCAGTCTATGAGAGGTTATCTCCATTATGAATTTATATCTCGGTATGAATGGTTATCCCCATATTAAAGATTTTAAAAAAAACAGAGACTCTGAAGTGAAATAGCTTGACTAAAGTCACATAACCAGTAAGTGTGCAATCTGGGATTTAATCAAAGAGCTATCTGACACCAAAATTTATACACTTCCTGTCATACTCTAGCTGACATACTCTAGAAGACTTCTACCATAAGCAGTGACTGCTATTACTGATTCCTTCTATAATGAGATGTAATTAAGATTCTGGTGTTATGATCTATGAACCAGAGTAGGAAAAGCCTGTAAACTCTACAGAAAATTTATACATTTCCTACAACTCACATAAATGTTTCATACATTTTTACCTAAATTTTATAATCTGTAAAAATGAACTGAATTTTAACATATTTATAAAGATATTCTACAGATTGACAAGCAAAAAATGTCCCATTGAATAGGAAGTATTATTTACACCATTAAAATAATTCCTTTTTAATGATACCCAGTAGATTATAGTTCAGTGCATATTGGTTATACTAGAGTGGGCTTTTTGAAAACCAGGTTTAAAACCCTTTCAAGCTATGAAAACAGATTTCTACCTGTACTTCATCATCATTCTCCCTAGTCCAGCTTGACAAAGGGCGAGGACTATCAGTAAACCAAGTCCACAGAAGGCAAAGGCCTGTAACAAGTCCCATATCAGCCCCATGAGGAGCGTCACTTGTAAAGGAACGATCCACACAAAATGGGCCAGTGCAAGTCCCTGGAAAATAAAAGCACAGTAAAAACAAGTGGCATTTTATCCTCCACACCCCAAAACAATTACATGTGAAGGAAAAGAAGCACAGAGAGCCTATAAAATCAAATCCTTCATGGTTCTGAGGTACTTGTTACATGGAGCACATAGCAATGTGCTTAAACATTCTACACAGACACTGGGTTTGCCCAAGGAACAAATTCCAAGAGACTGCATTTTTAATCAGTGGAATCGAGACTGTATGTCTTAATATCATATGCAGAATTTATTTTAAATAACTCCCTTTTGGACAAAGCAAGAGCCATAGTATAGAACATGACAGAACAAAGGACTCTCCCTAGAGGCTCAATCCACACAACTGCACAACTCTATCATCTGACTGAGATATTCAGAATAAATATATGCTCAATTCAACAGTAATTTTTTTAGCACCTGCTGTGGGTTTAATGCTATGTTAAGAACTGGAAATGCAAAGATAAATAAAACACATTGTCTGTCCTCAAGGGCTTTGAATTTGTCTCATAAGATGGCACAAAACAAGAATTGCTCAGAGTATCATATTTAGCCAAAGTAAATAGCCTATTTAAAGTATTAAAAGGAAGCAAGGTTTGACAGGGATTGTTTCGAAAATCGTATTAACAGCAAGCTGAGGTGCCTTTTAGTTGGGCAGTTCTAACAGACCCCAGAATGGCACTATGCTACACAATTTAGCTTTCTCAGTTTCCAGAAATAGGGAAGGCAAGAATGAGTAAGATTTAACCACTTATTATGGTTATCTGACCCAGGAAAACTTCACCTTCACGCTTGTATGATTTATGACAGTAATGCATAAAAGATTAAATCAATAGGTACATACTTCATCAAATTTGTTCAGGTTGTTGGAAAGGAGACTAACAAGTTGTCCAATACTTATTTTATCTAGAACACGGCTTGACAGCTTTAAAGTCTAAAAGAAAAATGGGAAGTTAGATGATGTCGACAAACAAAAGACATATGTATAAGTAACATAATATAGCTGAGGAATTAGGTTACTATGTATGCATTTTTAAGTAAAGGTAATAAAAATTATTTTATGTTCATCTAGCTTAGTATCTTCTCAGATTTATAAATATTTTTCTTAACAGCAAATATTATATTGGCATGCCGCTAGCTGTTTTATTTTTCACCATCTAGAGAGTAATAACTATTTTTTCTCCTCCACAATGGGAATGATACTATACTTAAATATCCATTTATATTGTGTGGGGTTTTCTTTGCTTTTGTTTCAAAAGATAGCACCAAAAGACCGTGAAATTTGAGGTTTAAACCTTGGCCTTAAATTTTTCAGGAAGTCCTATATTAATTCGTTTGAATAAAATTACTGTTAAAGTCAATAGAAATATATTATGAATCATTAATAATTTTGTGAAGGATTATATTAGAAATACAAAAACCTGTAAATTTCATAAATAAAAAAATGTAAATTAGTTAAGTAAATAAATTGATTTTATCTACTTCTCTATTAATTTAATTAATTAAAATTAAGTAGATAAATTAATTATAATTATGAAAGATCACAGTCATACTTTGCCTGTAAAACTGAATAAGAATTGATTTGCTATTAGATGGCTTTGATTGGAAAGTACCCATCTAAAATTTGTTTCAATTAAATCCCTCACATATTTGTTGAGCATTTAGTAGATGCAAATCACTATACTCAATGCTTCAAGGATTATTATTAAAATTTATTAAAACAAAATTTTTGCCTCAAGGCAACCTATACATAAATAACTAAATATAATATGATAAAGAACTAAGGGAAGTAGAAACTAATGGGGTGGTTAAGAGGAAGTTCACACTTCTTGTTAGAAAAATCTGGAAAGATTTTATTGAGAAGTTAGAATTAGAGCGGGGTCTAGAATAATGAAGTGTTCAGATAAGCAGAGATGAAAAAGAAATCAAGATGGTTAATTTCAAAACATTATCAGAGCAAAAAAGGGAGAAAACCCATTGAGCTGAATTACGCATGACTTGGTAACAGACTCTCGGGTAACCCTGAGTTCTGCACAGGGCTTTACACCAAGCTATGCACACAGTAAGCACTCGAATATTTGTCAATTTACTTATTTCTGTGTTCTTCAAATTCAGAGGCAACTCAATTTTGCTTGCATTTAAATCCATTATTTAAAGTAAATGTATCATAGTTGCAGAATTTGGAACAAAGGAAATAGTGTTTTATTACAAAATTTGGAACATTGTAGGAAGGGTCTTATGTGTCCTTGCCAAGGGGATGAAACAGGTCAGACATGGGAAAGAATGAGATCTGGGAAGAGCCAAGACAAGGCTCACTTTAGGGACCAAACCAAAACCACAGGGAGATGCAATTACATTCTTTGGTGATGACGTCAATGGAGGCCAATAAACGTGGCTAGAGAGATAGAGCAAACTGGGTACAAACGCAGATATTCAACACTGAGAAAGAAAGACAAAATACAATGGCATCTAACTTTTCATTAATGTGTCCTGGATCTGAAAGCATACATATCGCAGTATTTGTGCCAAATGTTCCATATGGCCTTGTTTATGAACTAACCTACTCTTATTTGATTTCTCATCTCCTTTAGCCCAGAGCATGCATCTCTCTTCCCATGTAACAGTCTACCTCACGGCTGATATTCCAGTGCTTACTTCATTTTCCCTAATGGTTGGAAATCTCTCCACTTCAGAGATTGTGATTTACCTATTGTACAAATTTTGAAGCTGTTTTTGCACTGTACTTTTTTTGTACTTTCATTCTGTATTTTTTAGGGCTTAGTTTCCTTATCCATAAAATAGGGAAAATAATACCTACCTTATGGAGTTGTAGGGAAGATCAAATAGATAGTATACCTAAATCACTTGGAAGCTTGTCACGCACATCCTTAGGTATAATCATTATGATGAGAAGCACTTTTTATAAATATTTATTAAACTGAATTCAACCTCCTCTGACATGCAAGCTGTGTAGATTCTCCATTCCAAATAAAACCTAGTAATTTCTTCACTTTTGTAAAATTTTGGATCAAAATACAATTTTTATTGATTTATCACCCATGTTTTTCTGGTACTTCGGAACTGATGAGATTGCAGCTGAGGTGATTTGATTAAACTGTGGACTCCATTTTTTCCCTCTGCCTCTATAAAAGCCTTTTTTGAACAATGAAGTAAGTGTGGCTATTAAGGTTTTACAATACAATTGACCTTGTGTGTATATCATGGAACTGTTACGGACTATTTACTAGAGGTGAATTTCAGATCTATGCACTGTATAAGTATATAAAGTTTTTATACTGGGGAAAGAAAAAAGAGAAAAGGTATAAAGTACACCCAAATGATTCAACTAAAACAGCATTCTATAATGACTTGGTCCATCCAAGCAGCTACACGTGGTATTGAATCAAGTCATTAAAATGATCTTAAAAAGTGTTTGTAAGGCAGCTAACTGTTACTTTGAATTCACCTAAATCATGCTTCAGCAACTTGGGCTTTTGTCTGAAAATACACACAGACAGAGTAGGTTCATATTGTATTAATGCATGTGCTCTTCCAAAAACTTTAAATATGCATGATTCACAGGATGACAAAAATCTAACTCAAAATAAGGTAGTGGATACCACCACTTGTGACAAGTTAACTAGTTGTGGAAACTTCTATTGTTTGGGTTATCATTTAACAATTACATATCATACTGTCATTATTGAACATAAAAATACATGGCATTTTACCATAAGATGACATTTTGTCAATGACTTTTATGCAGACTGTGCAAGTTATTTTAATGGGGAACTATGGATTCCAGAGAAATGATGACATGACTAGTGAAAAAAAAAAACAAAAATGAAACCCAATATAGACAGTTTACAGAAGGTGCTCAATAATTATGAGTTGAAGTAAATTGAATTATTAATGAAAATTTAAAACATTAACTATTCTTGCCACTTATTTCATAGGCATATGAAATTAAATTCAGCATTTATCCCTTACTTGTACCAGCTCACTACCTAATTCATGACATTTAAAACATGTACCATAGAGAATATTTGTACCATGGGGATTGTGCAAAGAAATATTACCTTCTTATAAATCAAACTAAACATAGCTATTCTCATCTGCATTCCAATGTGATGAAGGCCAAAAATGGCTGGATGTAGCAGCAGTGTCCTCACGATAAAGAGAAGGCATAAGCCTATGCCTAGGTAAATCGCGATGGAGCGTTCCACTTTGTTATCGGGATCATAGGAAGCTATGATTCTTCCCAGTAAGAGAGGCTGTACTGCTTTGGTGACTTCCTGCAGAAGGGGAAAAACAGAGAAATTAAATTTCACTTCCCTCTCTTATAATGCTCTTATAAATTCTCTTATAAATGCTCTTATAAAATGCTCTTATAATTTCAACACAACAAGCTTCATTGTTAGAGGAGAACTTAAAATGGGCTTACATAGAGGGTCACACCATATACCAAACTCCTGATATCCTGATACTTTACAATGAGATTTGATTTTTGGTTGTCACAAAAGTCATTTGGAGGCAAGTTTATGTATAAGGTATTTTTTTTTTTTTGTCTTTTTGTCTTTTTTCGTGACTGGCAATGCATCACAACCCTCAGTGTCGCGCCCGTACCGGACCCTCAGTGTCGCGCCCGGTCGTGTCGCGCCCGTACCAGACCGGGACTGGCAACAGGATCGCAACCCTCGGTGTTGCCCCCGCTCCTCGCTCAGCCAGTGAGCGGCCGGTCTGTATGTGGGATCCGAACCCTCGGCAGGAGCGCTGCCGCACTTCCCAAGCAGCGCACTGTAGCAGTGCGCCACCGGGCCGGCCCAAAGTATAAGGTATTTTTAACTAAAAAGTGAATAGTGGCCATAAAGCAAAGATGTAGTTTCTAAAATGGTTTGTTAATTAGTAACATCTACATAGTACTTAACAGTTTCTAAAATATTCCCCATTTGATTTCAAAACAACTTTCAGAGTCAGAGTAGGCATTATTATTTTCACTTTGCAGATGAAGAAACTGAGGTCAAAGAAACCAAGTGACTTGATGTAATTTCCAAATATAACTTTCAAAAGCGTTTTGAGCAATAGCATTATTTTCAGAATGAATATAGCTTTTCAAGGCATATAAAGCAGAGCTGGCAACAGGAGGCAGGAGCATGCCAGCACTAGTGATGGTTAAAGTCAGCCACTTCCAGTGCCATTCCCTTCCCAGTGTGGAATACATATGCACTTCAGTGAAGGAGTCTGCCAGGGGACTCAACCTGACGCCAGTTTCCAATGACTCATCATCTTGTGTCAATGAAGGAGGATGGAAGTTGTGTTTCCCAAATCTACCTCATTAGGGTCCTCATTCGACTACTAAGCCAAATTGTCCATCAAATTCATTACCTCTTCTCCTGAATATATAAAGGAATAGATTTGAACCCCAAGGTTTGAACCCAGGAGGTCTAACTCTTACTCTTCTTGCTAAATTGATTTCAATGGGGGAAAGACACATAATCCCCCATTTTCTTTTATAATGACCTAGAGAAATGGAGATCTGAGGTTAAACCCTACAAGGAAATGATGTTATGCCAATTGGTTCCATTTCCAATGTGCATTTCCAAGCCTGACTGCCCCCTCCCCCAAGTATTGCTCAGAATTACTCTGCCTCACCCCTTAATTTGCTTTTTTTCCATTTTCTACAATGTTTTTTCTAAATCTCAAGTGCCCAGTACCATCAGCCCCCTCATTCTCATAGAAGACATGTTTTCTACATCAACTTCATCCCCACAAAGAATCTTAACCTATATAGCTGTCATTGATTGACCACTGGCTTTGTGTAGCTGTTCATTCTGTACTTTATATGCAATACTTCAGTTCAAATTAATTGCATAGACCAAGCTCTGAATGTAAGAAAACATTCAAACCTCTAAAAAAGTTTCTGAACTAATCAAAAACATGGAATATTATCGTTCTCTCATCTTATACAGCCATATATTCAATATGAGTTTGAATTATAGCAAAGAGCAGGTGCTGAAAAGAAAATTGCTAATCTCCTACCCAGATCTAATATGTTAACAGTCTGTCATATCCACTGAAGATCACTTGTTTTTTAAAAAGTAAATAACGCACAAATTACTATTTAGTGTGTATCATTCTATGCATGCTGTGTACTTTTATTACATAGGTATGCATTTTTATAATATATACATAATTGGTTTTGAGGTTTAAATGGCATTATACTCTGCCTTTTGCAACTTTTTTTTAACTTAACACTGTGTTTCTGATGTTTACTCCCACTGATACTTGTATAGCTACCTCATTTATTCTAAGTGTTGTTTAACATACCATCCTGTGAATAAATCAGGTTATTTGTCCACTGCCCTACGTTGGGGCAGTTGTGTTGTTTCCACTGCTAAGCTGTTACAATCAGTGCAAGTGCCACCCTGGCTTTCTGTATAAAGTTTCATATGTACATGCCAAACTTTTTGTATAGTAGATCATTTTATTTCAAAAAACTCCTTATAGTAAGAAAATATACAGTTAAGTCTTGGATGTAAAATTATATATATATAAACATATCAGCACTCCAAATATAATTTTATAATGTGTTACATCCTCAAAATTATTTTTAGATCAATATTTTATCTTAGAATTTTTCTATATTTATATGTTGTTTTTCATAGACAAATGTCAATACCACATTTACTTTGATTCATTTTTGCATTAGGAGTGAGTTTGCACTTGGCCAAAATGCTCTCCTGAGTTGCAGTCAAGGGCACTGGATTTGCATGTGCTACATATGCTGGAAGTATCTTGTGTGGCCATGAATCACAGAGCAAGGAGCATTGATGTTTACTACGCCTACCAGATAAAGGATCACTTCTTGTTCATTGTAAGACAATAACTGGAAGGGCATGAACTGTGACCACTGCTCATGAAGTCAATTGCTTATATCATGATTAGCATAAACATCTTTTCCCCTTTTACAGAATTCATTTAGAGAGAGAAAGAGAGAGAGAGACTCCTAATAGAAAGTGTATCAAAGAATACAGAACCACTGATAAAACACCACATTGCAAAAAAAGTATGAAAATATTTTCAAGGAGTAATTTCTGTCTACAGAATGCTAAAAAGAGCATTCTAAGAAAAAAGAGAAATATTTTAGCAATTTGAGCTGTAGCCCAGAATTTTTAGAGTTAGAAATATACAGGCTTTTTAAAGAAATATACATCAGTTTTTTTCCTGTTGAATAATTTGAACTAAATCCCTTGGCATTGAATCTCCACTACATTTTTCCAAAATCTGTCATCTATATTACAATAGACTTATTTGCTGAATTATTGTTCAGTTGCAATTTATAACAAAACAATTAAAATTTGTATTAATCTGAATGGAATGCCTATTTTAAATATTGTTATCACTTAGATAGTTAATTGTTATCTTGTCTTAACCAAAAGAGGACATACTCATCGTTTGAATGACAGTGGCTCTTTCACAAGGATATTAGTAGTATTACTCTGGGAGGGAATATATTCAAAGAATAAAACAGTTCATTTTTTATAGAGGAAATTGCAATAATAGAACAAACTGCAAATAGCAAACCAACATAAACCTCACCACCACATAGAGCTGTTACCATTCAAGGACAAAATCAGCACTTCAACCCCTCCCTCCCCTTCTATAGTTTTTCGTAATCTGTTTTAAGCAGCATGTTTTTAAATATTTACAATAGAACCATTTACACATATCACCTGACTTCTTTTTATTTGGAAAAGAAAACAATGGTAACTGACACCCAGCTTAATCTATGAAGCGAGTGCAGTCCTTTACAAAAATCTGGAATGAATGGGAGAAACACAGTTCTGTAATCTTGGTACATGAAAAGCTGTGTGTTCTCTATTGCTCGGACTATTTCCTGAGACACAGGAAATTTCCTGATTTGCTGCCACATGGAATAGTACAAGCAAACTGTGGCTTGCCTGTAATGAGGAGGAATGTAAAATTATTTGAATATTCAATAAAATATTTTATCCCTTCTTATCAGACACAAATCAAAATGGAATTCATTTATTGGTACTCTTAGATCATAGAAGAAATTGGATATCAACTTAAATTTAGGCCAGCATGATGGCGAAATAAACACTGAATTCAGAGTGATGAAACCCAAGTTCTTATCTCAGCATGTTGCCTACACTCTCTGTGCCACCTTAGTCACCTCCCTTCTCTGGATAGATTTCTACACTGAAGAAAACTGAGAGATGTATTAAACTGATCCTGAAGTCCCCTCCAGTGCTAACATCTCTCATTACATGATCTGAGTCTGTAGAGTCCCATGGCAGAGGCCAAGGATTCCTTGGGAAATTGTCCTGGCCCATGTCCTGCCATGACTATGGAAGTTTTCTACTCAAAGGGATGCAGGTCTGAATACTGTGAGTTCAGAAGACCTTCTGGATAGAGGGGGTCAGGTTAGAAAACAGCTGAAGTGATTGCATTCCTGGTGGGAATAATCTTGAGTCTCAATTTAGATCAGCCTCCCAGGGAAGATTTGGATGCCTAAAATACATCTTATGAGATATAAGTATATCTGGTCTCTCACAGGATCTTCCAGACAAAAGCTCAAAGTTACTATGGATGAGTGTAAAACCTTCCACCATTTCTGTTCTACCTGCATACCTGGGACAGGGTCAGATGTTTCTGGAGACAGGGGAGTCTGCTTTTGCTAGATATTCAAACTATGAAGGAAATTTCGGTCCAGTAAAAAACTGGACACAGGCCTGCAATTACATTAAATAGATTAACCCCAAGATAACTTTACTTTAAAAATTACAGTTCCAAGGCCAAAACATAGTTGTTTCTAATATAAGTAAAATGATTGGTTCAAGAACTTCTAAGGTTACATTGTTTTCTATTGTGTGTGGTCACTTAGTAAAATCATTATGATCATCTCCACTTGTTTTAAATATAGTTTATAGTCTTTATCCCAGGAATAATTGATAAACTAAGTAATAGAATACCAAGAAGAACCTATGATTAATTCAATAACAACTGAAAAGGAAACTGATAAAACTTCAGTATGTTTCTAATAACTTGATAGATTCGAAAATAAAGGTACTTGTCAACCTGAGAAAGAATTTCTCCCTCAACACAACAATCAACACCATAATTAAAAAAATTCTAGAAGCATTAACCTTTAGAGGCAGAAAACAAGAAGAATACTGGCTATTACTACCATTTAAAATTTTTCTGGAACATCTAGCTAATGCAACTCAATAAGAAAAAATGACTAATGCATGAATATTAGAAAGAAGCAGCA